CACACACACACACACATATACATATATACACACACACACACACATATATACATATATACACACACATATATATATATATATACATATATAATATATATAAACATTAATATAATGTCATATAATATTTAATATTAAATGAATTACTGAATAAAATGTAAATAAAAATTCTGAGCACATCATCAAATAGTCTTTTTATGTGAAATACTATATTATATAACTATTTCACAAATACTATGAATATTTATATAAATGTTATTTATATAAAATATGATATTTAACATAAAATAGAATAAAATTAAATTGTATAACAATTCTATAAAGGTTTTTTTTCTCCACATTTTTGGCTTCTACCAGGTAAATGTTTTTTTTCATGATCAACTTTTTATTCAGTTTTAACACAAAACGTACACTGCTTTGCTATATGCCAAGTCGTATGTGTATTTAAGTACATAAAACAAACATCATATTTCAAACGATATACAATTACCAAAGCCTTGAAACAAAGATAAATAAATAAATATATAAAATAAATACAATGACATTCGTATCGCTGTTGAGATCCATTTGGATTATGTGCTAACCCTGTGCTAACTTCAAAAGTGCAACAATTACTTTATCTTTATTTTTACTTCGTGCTTTATGAAGGACAGCCAGTGATCCAGGTCAATGTTTTCATGAGTGAACCATTTATCCAATATCCGACTGTAAAGCTCTCAAAAATGTGATAATATTCAATGCAGTAATCTTCACGAACAGTTTTTGGGTTTTAATGAATGCACAGAAGCGTTGTGTAATCCAGAGCTCATGACGTTAACATCCAAACGCGCGAGAGCAACATTACACCAGCTCACAAAGCCTCATAAAGAGATGTGTGTCACTGCATGGAGATTCTCCAAAAGCCCAGCCGTGTTTTCCTAAGAGTCCTCCAGCACACGAGTCTGAAAATAACCGCAAGATCTCTTACTGTTTCACACAATCAGCTCAACTATTACAGCGCTGTGTGACGCCAACATCAACACCAGACACACCGCGCTTGAGCTTAAAGAGTTACACTCACTCACGCTTCAAACCAGCACTGGATCACCAGATGACTACACATCTCAGTCTAGTTGCATATATTATCCTTAGTTCTTTTTAGTATCTATTATAGTAATATTAGCTATAATAATTATTTTAGTAATCTTAGCTACAGTTTTAAAGTCACTTATTTAGGTTTAAAATCACTTATTTATATCGAATGAGACAGATCGATTGATTTTTAAGTTTTGGTATGTATGTTATGTAGGGTTATGCAGTGAATTATGATTTATACATGATAAATACAAATAAAAAACACTTTTGATGATGTGCTCAGATAACTGGTATTTTAATTATTATTGATTTTATATATATATTATTGAATAATTATTGATTATGTAATTATTTTATATATATATATATATATAAATGATTAAATCGCGAATGATTAAATCATTTAATAAATCGTTAAATGATTAATCGCGATTAATTGCATTCAAAATAAAAGTTTTTGTTTACATAATATATGTGTACTGTGTATATTTATTATGTATAATAAAAAATATATATATGTTATGTTTATATATTAAATATATCTATATATAATATAAATTATATGAATATAAATATACACATGTAAATATTTTCAAAATATA